GCTCTGGGCTAAACCACAAAGCAAAAAAAAAAACAAACCCCAAAAAAACCCCAAATTATTGATCAGCACAAGCCCAGCCTATTGAACGCCGGCTTTTCCCGGGGGTTTTGCGAGGGCTGTAAAGCAGCGAGATCTCGGGTGTTATTTCCCCTCCCTTCCTGACATATTTTGATTTTTTTTTTTTAAATTTTATTTTAAGCCACTTGTCTCTTGAGTTTTCTCATTCTGTTGCTTTATGCCCAGCCCAGGGGCAGCAGCAATGAGCAGGAGGATTCGGCGTACGTACATCTCGTGAGGTTTGAAGCTAAAAATGAATCGTAAAGGATTGTTTTTTCTCTAAGCTGGCAGCGGAGAAACTCATTGAAACGGCGACTTCTGGGGCGATGCTGCGGGCGGAGGAGCCGCCGCGGTTCCTGGAGGGGCGAATTGGGGAAGAATAGGACGAGAGAAGGTTCTACATGACTTTCTCGTGAAAAATTCTGCTGGAAATTCAGGCTGGGAGTAACTGGGGAGGACGTTGCTAAATGGGGAATGGTCCGAAAAGAGCCCCGAGAGCCGTTAAAAATTCTGGGAAAGCCTCCTGCCCAGATCGGGAGCTGACAAAAGTTTTTTTGGTTTAATGATGAGAGATTTTTGGGGGGGAACCCACGTGCGCTCGGAGGAAAGCTTTTGCTTCGTGAACAAACCCAAGAGGTAGGCTTTGAAGTCAGGCTGGAAATCCCAGCGAGGCGAAGGAATCGCCGGATCCGCTTCCCCGAGGCTGCCGGTGACTCTTTTGGACCCGACCGGGATGTTTTCCGTAGACGCTCCGGCTACACGGGGAGCAGCCCTGCCGAACCGCCGGTGTTTCCTGCAGCAGCTCAAGCTCAACCAGCCCAGGGATCCCCTTTGTGCTTCAAAATCCACCTCGTTCGCTGCCAGCTGGGGGTTTTTTTCAAGCTCATCCTGAGCTCCTAGGACCCGGACTCTTGACCTAACGTCACGTAGAAAAAAAAAGCAAAAAACCCAAACCCGAGGTTTGCTGAGAGCGGGGAGATTCTGCTTTATAAGGCTGGGTGATGGCCAGCAAGGTCATGACTCAATGTGTTGGTATGGTGGAAAACTGGCCCCGGAGGGATTGCTCAGGACAGGGATGGGAATTATTAACACTCCCACGTCGCCGGCTGTCCGAGGATTAACGCCCGGAGCCGGCACGGGGAGGGAAGCCGCTCGGGCTTTGTTCCGTGGAGCTGCTCCCATCAGCCCTTTTCCCCTCTCATCATCACTCTCGATTTTTCAGATTTGCTCTTGCAGGGTGATCAAACCTCTTTAGTTCCCTCCCGTGCAGCAAAAACTTCGACGGGGAGAGGGGGGAGAAGGACAGGACAGGACCCCAAGGCAGGAACTGCCCGGGAATCACGCCTCTGGCCGCGAGGATCCTTCTGTTCAACAGCATGTACCCGAGAAAGCAAATCACCAGCAAACTGGTTTCCCCGTTATGAAATATCGCTTGCTTTACAAACACGACACAAAAAAACCACCCAAACGTCCCCAAAACCGGGTCCCCAGCTTGCTCAGGGTCCCCGGAGAGGATCGAAGTGATTAAAATGAATTTTTTTCGCTTCTCTTTAACCAATACTCGGTTTTCCAACCCAAACAGATCAGACTCCGACCCCGACTCGGTTCTTGAAGAACTGCGAAGAGGTGGGACTCTTCAACGAGCTGGCCAGCTCCTTCGAGCACGAGTTCAAGAAAGCTGCAGAGGAGGATGAGAAAAAGGCAAGAGATGAAGGGTCACGGAAAAAACGGAGCCGGGGGCATCGTGGGGGGCTGGAGGGGCTGCTCCGAGGGAAGGCGGATGTCGGGGGGCAGCTACGTGTGGGCTGGGATTGAATATTTTGGCTTCCACGGGATTTTATTTTTTTTAACTTGGGTGATTTGAGCTGGTTATCCTGCAATCGGAGGCCTGGTGTGGGAGGATTGGAGTGGTTTGTTATTCCTTTGGCTTTTCACTTGCAAGAAAAAAATAAAGGAAAAAAAAAAGATTAAAAAAATTTAAAAAAAAGGGAAAAGAAAAAAGGGAAAGAAAATAAAAAAGGGAAAAATTTAAAAAGGAAAAAAAGAAAAAAGGGAAAAAAGGGAAAAAAAAGAAAAAAGGGAAAAAAGGAAAAAATAAAAAAGGAAAAAAGGGGAAAACATGAAGAAAAAAGGAAAGAAA